ATATAAGCAAGGCAACAGTGGAGAGAAGAAAAAAGTGTCAACATTCCATGAAAATTTCACATTCCGTGAAAATGTCCTTCAAAAGTGAGGGAAAAAGAGACATTCTCAAACAGAAACAAAATATTTACTGACAGTACATCTGGCATAAAAGGTAATGTTAAAGGAAGATTCTTCAGGCAGAAAAATTATGAATGAGGTAGGAACTTGGATTAGCATAAAGAAATGAAAAGCACTGGGAAAGGAATAAACGAATGGAGAATACATTTTCTTTTCAAAATGTTTTCAAAAATGAGGGACTTCCCTGGTGGTCCAGTGGCTCAGACTCCACACTGCCAACACAGGGGGCCTGGGTTTGATCCCTGGTCAGGGAACTAGATCCCACATGCTGCAACTAAAGAATTCACACACTGCAATGAAGATCAAAGACTGTGCGTGCAGCAACCAAGACCTGGTACAACCAAATAAATTTTTTTTAAATGTTATTAAAAAATGTTTGAAAAGCCAGGTTCCCAGATACCAGCCAAGGGTCAATCTTTCAAGCAGGCCTTCTAAAGATAGCAGCCTTAGGCCTGCTATATTAAATCTTTTCAGTGTGTGTGCATAATAAGTCTCTTCAGTCATGTCCAACTCTTTGTGACCCCAAGGACTATAGCCTGCCAGGCTCCTCTGTCCATGTGATTCTCCAGACAAGAACACTGGAGTGGGTTGCCATGCCCTCCTCCTGGGGATCTTCCCGACCTAGGGACTGAACCCACATCTCTTCCATCTCTGCATTGGCAAGTGGGTAATTTACCACTAGTACCACCTGAGAAGTCCTTTTCAGCACAAGAGGGTTAAAAAAAACCCTGAAGCTAACATCATACTTAATAGTGAGAGAGAAAATCCTTTCCAAGATTGGATCAAATTAAGGTTGTCCTCTCTTACCACTACAATTCTGATAAAGAAGAAAAAATAACAGTATTCATATTACCTGATTTCAAGAATCCTATGAAGCTATTGTAGTCAAGATAGTGTGGTAATGGCAAAGTGATAGACATACAGATCAATTCATCAGAATAGAGATCTCAGAAACAGACCCACACAAGCATTGTCATATTTTTGACAGAAGTACAAAAGCAATTCAATGGAGAAACACAGTCTTTTCAACAAATGGTTCTGGAACTACTGGACATCCATACACAGGAAGATGAACTTTGACACACACTCATTTTCATGGCTGGTGGGAATGGAAAATGATAGAGAACCATTTTGGAAGATAGTCTGGCAGCTTCTTATAAAAACTCTGCAATCCCACTCCTAGGTATTTACACAAGTGAACTGAAAACTTATGTCCACACAACATGTTTATTCAGATTTACTCATAATTGCCTGGAAGCAACCAAGTTGTGTCCTCAAACAGGTAAATGAACAAACTGTGGTACATCCATACAATGGAATGCAATTCAATGATAAAAAGGAAAAAGTATTATTAGATGAATCAAGTAAAAGAAGACCAAAAAAGGCTACATATTGCATCTATTCCATTCATATGACATTCTGGAAAAGGTAGGGCTATAGTTAAAAATTCAGAAGTATGCTATTCTGAGGCATTTCTAGGAAACAAAATTGGCTGGATATATTTTTTAACAAGGATAGTTCTGACCAGGTCAATGGAAGTTCATATCACCATAACCATATACCACTTCTTTTTAGATAAATGTCCTTAATTTTTAAAATAGGGTAATATATTCACATGGCTTAAAATTCCAAAAGTATACATAAAAGTTTATGCAATGAAGTCTCCTTCCCTCCCTCTACCCCGGCCATGTGTGCCCCAAAGCTCAGTGTCTTGAATATCCTTCCAGAAATATGTTATGCTTATATAAGCAAAAATGCATGTATTACTGCCCCACTATTATACACAAATGGTAGTATACAATATACAGTACTCTATTTCTTGCTTTATTTTTCATTTTGTACATCTTGAAGATCATGCAATATCAATGTAATAGTCTACTGTATAAATCAAGCCTTGATTGATCCTTAGGCTATAACCACTCTTTTGCTATAATAAGCAATACTCCAAGTTATATGCAAGTATTTGTTGAATTCATTTCTACAAGTGTTTGCAGGGTCAAATGATATGTGCATTTATAATTTTGATGGCTATTTCCAAGTCACTGACTTTTAAAATATCAGGGATTTTTAATTTTTATCCTAAGAGGAAAAAAAAAGAAACTGAGATTCTATCACCAGGCAATTTTCTAAGATGTACAAAATACAGTCTTCTACTCAGTTTTCCCCATGTGCTTACTAGGATCCAGCTGAATTTTCATGTAACATATTTATTTCAGGCCACAAACCGGTTGCAAAGCCTATTTCAGGTATGTAAAAGGTGTTACTTCTAAAATCATCACAAGCAAAGGCCAAAGGCTGATGCCCCAAATTACTAATCACTGGCCACTAACTCTATAGTACAATGGTGGATTCTTCACTGCAACCACACAGAGATTTTTAGGTAAAACTGTAACTCACATAAAGGTTATGAAGAAAGGCTGCAAATGTTTCTCTCCTCTTTCAGGTAGTGATGGATTCCCAATTAACTATCTTTTTGCTTGACCTCAAAACCTAGTGCAGTCTAGCACATTACAGTTTTTGTGCTAAAGCCTGAACTGGAGGTTGAGGAAACCCAGGGGCTCCTTTGATAATAGCCATATAAGATCAGTGAGCAACCAAGCCACTCATGAGAATATATCTTGAGCCACACTGTCACCCTTTGGCTTCCTTCCACAAAAACCATCACTCAGCTTCAAACTCGATAAAAGAGAGATGGCACAATCATATTATTTAGTCTCAAGAATACACTACTTTGGGACTTCCCTCGTGGTTCAGTTTAACCACTGTGCTTCTAATGCCAGGGGCACAGGTATGATCCCTGGTTGGGGAACTAAGATCCCACAATTCTGTGTGGTGTGGCAAAAAAATACACTACATTTACAAGTAAGTGTTTAAAATGATTTATCAAAGGAAAAGAGATTATATTCATTAATAATTAACATGCATTACTGCAGTAATGGTCCTCAATTTTCTCACATCTTGTGTCCATGCCTTGAAGGGTCCCCTCCCACAATGACTCTGGGCTTGGCCAAGGAACTTCTGTGGTTTGACTGATGGGACAGTATCAAATGTGACACAGACAGACACTTGAGAAGTGCTTTTGCTTTGGTGCTTGCTCTCATCTGCTACTCTTTGTGGCTTTGAGACTATGATGTTAACCAAGTCCAAACTAGCCAGCTGGATGAGGGACCACTTGGAGTGAGGATGAGCCATCCCAGTTTAGGGCTTCCTAGACCAACCAGCCTGGCAACTACCAGATGTATGAGCAAGGCCATCCTAGATCATGCAGCTAACCACCCTTCCTCCCCTTCTCCAAAAAAAGTTAACTGACACAGGCTACTGCAAAGTAAGTATGTCTATGGTCCAATATATATGGAAAGGGGAAGAGAACACTGATCTTTCCCCATGAAGTTTACTCTGCACATAATAGTTCCAAACAGAAAAACCTGCAGTAGCTGGATGAGAGTAAATATATAAGTATCGAAAAAATTCCTGAGTCCTCCATGATTCTCACAAATTCGCTGTCTGCCATCACAGATGGCACACACTAAAACACATACACACACACACAACACAAAAAATTTCTATTTAGTCAATGAAGCATCTTTATCATGATATATTTAAACCAAAGCCTTATAGTCAACAGTTCCACTTCTAACATGAGCTCAGGTTTCCAGGAATTACTTTTTGTTTCAATTCTACTTGTTTCCCCATTTGACAGGGCTTGGTGAAAGCTGAAAGAGCTCCCTCAATGCAGCAGCCTAAAAAGCATCAGGTAATATGAGCCCAATTAAACCTTCTTCTAGAAGCATTCCACAGGACCAGCTTCTTCCAGCATCACAGCAACTCTTTTTAGCCATGTTAATGGTGGGCAGTAAAAACTGTTTAAGATCTACACATTTGGGCCAGAAACACTGCCTCTATTGGATCACTAAGTGAGACACTAAAAGGGAAATGACTCTCTTAAGCCACTTTTGTTTAGGTCTCAGGAGATGACTTTCTGGATTCACACACACACACACACACACACACAGAAACACACCTTCTAGCAGCCTCCTACAGCCCTTGGAGTAAAACACAAGCTCCTTAACGAGGTCCCCTAAGACTCTGTCAATCTTCCCCAGCCTATCTCATCTCTTTCCCCAGGTCCTAGCCAAACCTCTTTGGATTTTTTCCACCTCTCTCCCACCTCAGTGCCCTTACAACACCTGCTGTTCCCTCTGCCTGGCAATCCCTTTTCTCTTTAACCCTGCGCTTACCTCTTCCTTGCTGTTTGACCTTAGGCGAGTTACCTTTGCTTCACCTCTGAGCCTCATATCTCAGAAGATACCCTGTGATAAGCACTTAGCACAATGCTTAGCACACAAGAAATGGTTAACAAATCATCACTGCTGTTATTGCTATTATCTCATAGTAATCTTCATTGCAATTTAGTACAATTAGTAATTAGATATTTATTTGTAGAAAAATAGAAACACCTCCTTGGATTTCACCTTAATACCTAATCCCTTTCATGCTATTTCCCCCATAATGCAATTCTGGAAGGGAAGATGAATGTTTATAGAGCAATTATTACCTCAAAACTGTGTTTTGGCAGAGGAAGAAACTGAGGCACAGTGAAGTTAAGTAACTGGTCAAAATCAAGTGATGGATTAAAATCCAAGTTGGCATGACCCTACAGCCTGTGCTGTATATGACACCAAAGGTTTCTTTAACTCATGAACCTTGTTAACTAAGAGCAGCAAGCATCAGAAAAAAAGGAATCTTCACATTTACATACTTCTCAAACGACTCCCAGGTATCTAACTCTTCAAATCCTTAACCAGCCTGATGTTCCAGTCAGCCATGTAAATTCCTTCAGCAGAATACTCTTTCCCCTTGACTGAGATGGTAGATTTCCTTACCTTTCCACTGGATGTTGAGCTTTCAAGGGGATGAATATCTTTCACCTCTTATACCCCTAGAAAAGAGGTTTGCTAAATAAATTAAAATGTTGGCGAATATATAATAAATACAAAGTTGGGGAGTGGTGGAATGAATTTTCATAAAAATATTCAAGTTTGGCACAGCTAAAAACAAACTAGACAAAAATGACAACAAAAAGGGAGTTTATCTTAACCACTCTTACAATTGATAATGATTTCTATATCTAGCACCATAGATTTCATGTTAGTTACAAATGTGTATTTTACAACTTTAGGTAGACCACTCACCAATATTCTGCTATACCCAGCAGCTGCACTCGAGCCACCCTCATGAGCGGATGCCTTTGACAAATATCTCAATGGTTACTTTCAAATGGGTCATAAAAGAAAACAGAGCAAATGATAAAGCAAATGGGAACAAACTGTTAATAAATGGTAAGTTTGAGTAAAAGGAATACAGGAGTTCTTTGTACTATTTTTGCAACTTCTCTGTAATTATATCAAGATAAAAAGTTCTATTATATCAAAAAAAGTTCTGAAATTTTGAAATAAAAGATTTTTCCCAGGAGACTGAACATACAAGGTACTGGTCATGCTGGTACCATATTACCTTGTCACCTGTTCCAAAAAACACACTCCAGAGTTGTGTTTCCTGGCCTATCAGTCAATACCAAAGGACAAAAAACCCCATGGGCAACAGGGCTCAGCCACTGCTTCTGGGTTGGGACAGAGATTAAATTATTTATTGCTTGAAGAGTACTAATGAACGCATAGGTATCTCCTATTGGACAAAGCTCCAGTACTATTTCCCACACCAGGCACCCTACTTTCTTCGGTCAGCTACCCTCTGAGTCCTTACTTTCCTTTCCCCAAGCTCAGTTATGGGGCCAGGCAGATTCTCCTCAGGACACCTTCTTGCTCACTGTTCCACCCACACAAGAGAAGCACAGATACAGATCTGATGCTAAGAGCTTTGCTGCTATTGTCTATGGAGAGACTTACAGGGAGGAAGAAAAAATAACCCTGGGGGAGTCACAAAGATTCCAGAAAACAGAAAACTCAAAGCAGTAGTTACTTGGTCTGTAACGACCACTTGCTAGCACCCTTTTATTCATTCATCACTTCTACCTACTCGTCCTAGACCTTCCCCATTCCCCAAACCAGAATGCTTCAGCTTTCCTAGCCACTGTAAGTGGGACAACAGGTAGAAATTTGTAATTCATTCAAGTGTCCCCATATTAGCCATTTCAGAAGAGTGCCACATGGGTGTCACTCAACACTCAACCCTCACCTATAAGGTGAGACAAATAAAGGTCATAGTAAGTTATCCTCTGATGAGATTTTCTTAATGTAAACCAGCATATGATCTCTACCTTCCTCAGCTCCTGTTTTGTGTAAGCTCTATGAGAAGGTAGATGCATTATGTCCTACACAATGTTCAACCTCTGTATCCCTGATCAAGGCTTATTAGAGCCCTCTGTTTTGCCATGTCTTCAAAAACACCCAATGCCTTCTGCCTCTTGCCTCCCCCCAAATATTTGCTTAGTTCCAGCCATACCTCAAAGTAGTATGCAGAAAGAAGAAATGGCTTTGTGTAGCTTAGGGGAGAAATGGGTTGTTAAGAGTTGGTGGAACACAAAGGAGAAAAAAGACAAGCATTACCAAAGGAGATCATATTCAACCTACAACCTTCAACATCCTTTGTTCTTAAATATTTTAACTTTCGCTAACCCATACAACTCAACTATGAGGGCCATGCACCATCATCTGTCCTGCTCCTGGGAACCTTCTCTACAGGCCAAAAGGTGGGTCACAGGTGCCCCTCAGACTGCTTCCAAGTCACTCCTGGCAGCCAGCTGATCACAAACACTTCAGGAAGGACAAAGGACACTTCAGGGGAGGCCCTTCTTCACTCTCCCCTACCTGTGACCAAGATTCACCAACTCACGGCAACATGACTCAGAAAAGTGGGAGAACGCAAGTGTAGGTTCTAGAACCAGACAAGGACCCCTGAATATTTCAGAAATGACTCGATGAAGAATGCAAGAAACTCTGTCAAGGCACCAAGACTAGGTTACAAGCACTTCTCTAGCAAACAAAACTGTAGAGAAGAGCATAGTTGAAGAAAAGGTATCAATGATGGTAGCTAACACTGAGAAGATCTCATGTAATTCTTTCACCCTTGGAGAGAGTTTTTACCCTCTTACAGTTCAAGTATTTAAATTCAGAGCTCACTTTAGATGAAAAAGAAAATGACATGTTATAAAGGTAGATAGAATGCCTGCCTGCTAAGTCAAATAGGACCCTGTGACCCTATGGATTATAGCCCACCAGGCTCCTCTTGTCCATGGGATTCTCCAGGCAAGAACACTGGAATGGGTTGCCGTGCCCTCCTCCAGGGATCTTCCTGACCCAGGGATCAAACCCAAGTCTCCTGCGTTAGCAGGTGGGATCCTTACTCCTAGACTAAACAGAAGAGGGGGAAAAAAAAAACTATATCTATTTTCACTTATCCACATGATGCTATAAAAGCATGAGAACTACACTATTCAAAGGGTACAGAGGCCTAGGATCCACATTCCCATTGTTTACAGATGTTATGAAAGTAGTAAATAAAAATACAATGCTTTTATCAACGGATCTCACATCGAAAACAACCCCATGAACATCTGAGAGCATGGATTTCCTTGCATCTCAGAAAGTCAGAGAAGCGGCCAAACAAGTTTCTTGCCAAATGCTTAGGAGCTGCATATGTCCCAGGGCTACACAATAATACCAACTTTTAAACATGCCTTCACATACCACCATTATGGTCCCACACTCGAGGTCCCTCCCCCGCTTTCCCCCCTCACAAATAATAAACGCAGGTTGGTTACCGCGTGCAATTTAAAGCTGGACTTCACCGAAGCAGTAGCTCCGAAAAGCGAGAGGAAAAGATTGGAGGCAGACTTTTTTGTTTTTTAATCGATATCCCCACGAAGTGGGGAATAAAACCAACTCAGTCGCTGGAGAAAAGTTAACTTTGCAGTGCCCAGCGGTGGGAAATTTTTCCCGTAAGATTCGGAAAGCCCTCCCGTTTTTCCCACCCCCGCCCCCCGGACCGCCCGGCACTCGCCGGTCGCTGCGGCCCAGGACCGGCAGCTCTGGAACAATAACGCGAGGGGGAGGGAAAGTTCGTCAGCCCGCGGGACGCCGGGGCTCACCAACGGCGGGACCACGCCGCCGCCCGCACCGCCCGGCCCCCAGTCTCTGGGTCTCGGTTCTTCCCGCCCCTCAAGAGCGAAACAGTCAGGGTGCGCCCCCGCTCCCTGGAGCATCCGGCCCCAGGCAGCCCGGAGAGCTGGTCCTCCCGCCGCGGGTCGGACCACGGGAGCCCCGAGAGCAGGCAGTGAACCGGGAGGGAGGGGGCGCCAGGAGGGGGCACCGGAGGCAACGGCCGCAACAGTTATGGCGCTCAATTTCTGCCCGAGTGTAGCCGCAGCCGAACACGGCCGGCCGCCCCCACCACCCACGCCCCCGGGCCGGCCACCCAGCGCTGCCCGGAGCCGGCCGAGGAGCCACCGGGCACTTTACCTCAGCCCACACATGCCCTCGGCCCCAAGGCTCTGGGGACGCCGGAGGCCGCCGCCGTGTGGAGCCGGACGGACCCGGAGCGCGGCGAGGTTCGTCTGGGACGTTGCGCTCTGTGGCGCCCGTTTCCACTCCCTGAGGCCGCCACTCCCGCTACCCACCCGACGCGACGCCCCCCAAGCCCGCTCGCTCCGCGTCCAGCGTCAGCGGCGCCTACCTTGGCGCAGCGCGACCGCTGCTCCTTCCCGGCTCCACACTAGGGCCCGGCAACGTGCCGGGCGAGTCCGGTAGAGGTGGTAACCGCCCCCTGAACCGCTCGCTTTCTTCTCTCCCCTCCCTCGCACCTGCCCCCTAATCTCCTCCCTTTTATTGTATTCCTGACACTGTGCGCTCCCACGCTCGCCCTCGGCCCTCGCCCGCCCGCCCGGCCCGTCAGGCCTCAGCGCTGGGCAGGCGGTTGGGCGGCGGCGGCAGCGAAGGAGGCGGCAGCGGCAGCGGCTGAAGCGGCGCGGAACACTATTGTATTCCTGACACTGTGCGCTCCCACGCTCCGCCTCTTCCCCTTCCTTCCTTCTCCACCGTCTCCCCAACCTCCGCGTTCCACTCCAACCGCCCCCCCACCCGCAGCCAACCGCCGGCCGCGCTCGCCCTACCCGTCTCTGGCTCCCTGCTGTCCGACCGCCCCGACCGCCGCGCGCTCTTCTGGCGGGCCAGGCGCAGTTTGCCACCGCCGCGCGCCTCGAGGCTCCGCCCACCTGGTGCTCCCGCACGCGCCGCGCGGGGCTCCAGGTGGGTTCCTCTCAGCTCCTGCTGGGTGCGCTGCAGCCTGGAGGCGCCTCGCCACCTCTGAGGGCTGGAGACGCCGACGACGGGGAGGTGCCTGGGTTGTGTTGAAATACTACCTAAGCTTTTCATGGCCCCTTTCAACTCTGAAGTTCTATAAGTGGACCCTCCTGTATGCAACTCGTTGTCGGTCACTATTGATTTAAGCCGTTTGCGCTTGAATTACACCTATAATAATATTCAAGCTGAAGTGGCTATTCACAGAATAAATTTATTCAGTTGCAGGCACAAGTGGGTTATGAGATGTGGCTTTTTGATGAGTCAACTTGGTTAGGGTACGGCCCCCAGTTATTCAGTCAAACACTAAAGAAGGTGTTGCTGTGAAGGTATTTTCGTGTAATTAAAGCTCCTGATCAGTTGACATAAAGTGAGGGAGATTATCGTGGATAATCTGGATGGGCCTGGTCATTCTTTTCTGACTGCATGCCCTGTAGATTTTGGACTTGCTTAGCCGGCCCCACATTTGTAAGCCAATGTCTTCTAATTAATGGATGAATAAAAGTGTGACTGTGTGTGCATCTTTGTGTGACTATCTCTGGTGGAAAACTGACTCATACAGATGTTTAAGCAACAGACTCTTTACCATGAACTCATAATTGTCATTTTCATTCACATTTCTAGGCTAAACAAAAATGTGGGCTCTTTTTGTATTTTGTCTGTTTGCAATATTAAAGATGTAGTTCTATTTTGTAATGTGCAAATATGTGAATTCTAAAATATTCGTGGTCCTTCAGACTTACCTCATTTACTTATTATCCTCCTTTTATTTACCTCAATATTGCTGGACTGTGCTGTGCTTAGTCGCCCAGTCGTGTCCGACTTTTTGCGACCCCATGGACCCCATGGACCCCCACCAAGCTCCTCTGTCCATGGGGATCCTCCAGGCAAGAATACTGGAGTGGTTTGCCATGCCCTCCTCCCAGGATCTTCCCAACACATGGATGGAACCCAGGTCTCCTGCATTGTTGGCAGATTCTTTACCAGCTGAGCTGCCAGGGAAGCCCTACCTCAATATTATACTTAACTTATTTTGAAATAATTATAGATTCACAGGATCTGTAAAAAAGAAAAAAAAGTATTACAGAACAGTCTCAAGTACTCTTCACCCGATTTTCCCCAATGGTAATATCTTACATAACCAAGATATTGACATTGGTACAAGCCACAATCCTTACTCAGATTTCACCAGTTTTAAATGCACTCATTTCTGTGTCTGTGTGTATAGAACTGTGCAATTTTATCACATGTGAATGGAATCATACCTTTTGAAACTGACTTTTCCTCTTCACTCAGCATCATTTCCTTGTGATTCATCCAAGTAGTTGCACATATCAATAGATCATTCCTTTTTATTGCTGACTGGTAGTATTGCTATGGATGTACTACAGTTTAACTATTCACCCGTGGATGGGTATTAGGATTGTTTTCAATTTTTGTGTATAAGAATAAAACTTCGATGAATATTCATGTAGAGTTTCTTGTGTAAACATTAACTTCTCTGTGACAAATGCCCAGAAGTGCAATTGCTGGGTTGGATGGTATGTTTAGTGTTATAAGAAACTGCCAAAAATTTCCAGACTGTCTATACCATTTTACATTCCCACCAGCAATGTAGAGATCCAGTTTCTCTACATCTTTGCCTGCATTTGGTATTGTGACTATGTTTTTATTTTCATCATTCTAAAAGATGTGTTGTGATACCTTTTTGTTTTCCCCAATAGCTGATATTGTTAAACATCTTTTTATATGCTTATTTGCCATTTGTATATCCTCTTTAGTGAAATGTCTGCTCATGTATTTTGCCCATAACATTAAATTTTTTTTTTAATTTTTGGCTCTGCTGGGTCTTTGTTGCTATGCAGTCTTTTCTCTAGTTGTGGCAAGCAGGGGCTTCTCATTGCCGCGACTTCTCTTGTTGTGGAGCACGGGCTCCAGGGCATGCAGACTTCAGGAGTTGTGACACGTGGGCTCAGTAGTTGTGGCTCCTAGGCTCTAGAGCACAGGCTCAATAGTTGTGGCACAGAGGCTTAGTTGCTCCCTGGCATGTGGGATCTTCCTGGACCAGGGATTGAACCCGTGTTTCCTGCATTGGCAAGCTAATTCCTCACTACTGAGCCATCAGGGAAGCCCTACCCATTACATTTTGAGAATTCCTTATATATTCTAGATACAAGTTCTCTGTCAGATAAGTGATCTGCAAATATTTTTCCCAGTCTGTAACTGGTCTTTTCATCCTCTTAAGAGATTTTGAAGGTCAAAAATTTTAATTTTGATGAAGTCCAACTTTTCAATGTTTGCATTTATATATCATGTATTGGTGTCATGTCTGAGAAAAATTTCACCTAGCCCTAGGTCCCACAAAATCTTCTCTTGTATTTCCTTGTAAAAGTATTATAGTTTTATATTTTACATATAAGGCCATGATTCATTTGAATTAATTTTTGTATAAAATGTGAACTTGAGGTCGAGGTTCATATTTTTGCCTATGAATGTCTGATGGCTGAAACAGTTTGTTAAAATAACTATTTTTTTCCTCCATTGAATTGCTTTTGCACCTGTGTCAAAATCAGTTGGGCATATTGTATTTGGCTGTTTGGGGCTATTTCTAGGTTCACCATTCTGTTTTACTGTTATACCTGTCTATCCCTCTGTGAATACCAGTCTTTCTTAAAATTTATTTTTAATTGGAAGATAATCACTTTATAATGTTGAATTGGTTTCTGCTGTACAAGACCAAACAGTCTTGATTACTATAGGTATATATTTCTTTATTCTTCTTCAAAATTGTTTTAACCATTCAAGGTTTTTGCCTTGCTATATAAATTTTGGAATGAGCCTGTCTCTATCTACAAGAAACTTTCTGGGATTTTGATAGGAATTGTGTTGAAACTATAGATCAATTTGGGGTGAATTGAAATCTATACTATACTGAGTCTTCTAACCCACAAACACAATACATATCTCTCCATTTATTTAGATATTTTTTTATTTCTTTCATCGCGTTTTGGAATTTCAGCATGCAGTTCGTGTACATGTTTTGTTAAGTGTATACCATATTTCATTTTCTTTGGAGTGACTGTAAATAATATTGTGTTTAGAATTTCAGCTTCTTTATTATTAATATATAGAAATGCAGTTAATTTGGGGTGTTGATCTTGTATTCTTTTTTTTTTTTTGCAGCAAAGAGCTCAGCTTTTTATTGAATGTGTTACTAAAAAGGTTTAGTCAAAAAGACCAAAGCCCATGTCATCATTAGACTCTCTAGATTCTTCTTTCCTTGCTTTTACTTTCTTCTTAGCTGAGGCAGCAGTGGTGGAGGGGACAGGACCTCCTGCGGGATCAGCACCAGCTTCTGGGGCAAGTCCTCCAGCCCCCACATTGCAGATGAGGCTCCCGATGTTGACATTGGCCAAAGCCTTTCCAAACAAGCCTGATCAGAAAGGTTCAACATTCACCAGCCCAGGTTGGGTGCATGAGACAAGTGCTCGGGCCTGGTGCACTGGGAAGACCCAGAGGGATCGGGTGGAGAGGGAGGTGGGAGGGGGGACCGGGATGGGGAATACATGTAAATCCATGGCTAATTCATTTCAATGTATGACAAAAATCACTACAATGATGTAAAGTAATTAGCCTCCAACTAATAAAAATAAATGGAAAAAAAAAAAAAAAGAAAGGTTCAACATTTACACCGGCTGCTTTAATGAGGGCATTGATATTACACTCTGTGTCCTGCAGGATGAGGGCCGAGTAGATGCAGGCGAGCTCCGAGAAGGAGGCTATGGTGCTGGCGAGTGCCAGGTGAGGGCTGCCGGGCACACTGCTAGTCGCCCAGATGAAGTGAGGGTCTCACCCCAACGGGGCCTTAGCTTCCTTGAAAGGACCGTGTACCTTAGCAGCAGCTGAGGAAAGCCTTTGACTTTCTTGAATCCACTTATTAACTAGTCTTAGCAGTTTTTTGGGTAGATTATTTGGGATTTTCTGCATAGACTATCATGTTGTCCATGAGTATGGACAGTTTTATTTCTTCCTTTCCAATCAGCATGCCTTTTATTTCCTTTTCTTGCCTTATTGTGCAGATGAGAACTTTCAGAGTGGCCTGAGCAGACATCCTTCCCTTGTTCCCTATATTAGGGGGGAACATTCTATCTTTCACCATTAAGAAAACTGTTAGTTGCTGTGTGTTTGTTTTTGTAGATGCTTTTTTTGTCAAGTTGAGCAGGTACCCTTCTATTCCTAATTTGCTGAGAGTTTTTATCATGAATGAATGGTGAATTTTGTCAGATGCTTTTTCTACATTACTTGATATGAACATATGATTTTTCTTCAATAGCCTGTGGATATCATAGTTTATATTGATTGAATATTGATTTTTAACTAATCTTGCATAACTGGAATAAACCATACTTGGTGATGGTATAATTTTTTTTATACCTTTCTGGAGTCTATATCACTAATAATTTGTTGCAGATTTCTGTATAAAAGTCCCTAAAAGAAGGTTGGAGAGTTTTTTTCATAGTGTGTTTGTCTGGTTTTTGTATTAGGTGAATACTGGCCTCATAATATGAGTTGAGAAGTTGTGCAGAAAAGAGTTAACATAGCAGGCCCTTGGTGGGCCTCTGGGAACTGGGATTTCAGGAGGATTTCCACCATCCCCAGAACTGATAAGAGTGACTCACTACGCCTAAACTGTTTGTACAAATGTGATTTATGCTGGGACTAAAATTCAAGTCTCCTGATTTCCAAGCTGTGTGCAAGAGTTAACGTAGCAAGCTGACCGTTATCCTTTGAAAGGGCTGTTTGCAGGGTTGGTTCTTTGATGACATCTGGAAACTTGGATTTGGGGTGAGTTCCTCCCATTCCAAGGACTGATAAGAGTATCCCACTCTGCCTAAACTGTACAAACAGTATGGTTTATGTTGATCATCTGCTTTCCTTCTGGGAGTCTGGAATTTTGGTAAGTGCTAAGCAGCGAGTGCCTATATGATCAACTCTCAATAAATGCCCTAGGAACTAAGTTTCTAATGAGCTTCCCTGATAGACAGCATTTCACATGTGTTGTCACAGCTCTGCTGGAGGACGTAAGTACATCCTGTGTGACTCCACTGGAAGAGGACTCTTAGAACCTTGTATCTGGTTTTCTCTGGATTTTGCCTGTGTGCCTTTTTCCTTTGAAGATTTTGTTCTGTTCTCTTTCACTGTGATAAATAATAACCTTGAGTTGATTGTATGCTGAGGTCCTAGTGAATCATTGCGCATGAGCACAGGGATGGTCTTGGAAACCCCTTACACAGAAATGCTCCCTTCTCTTTGATATTCTGGAAAAGACTGGAAAATTGGTGTCAATTCTTTAAATGTTTGGTAGAATTTTCCAATGAAACCATGTGGACCTGGAACTTTTCTTCCCAAGACCTTTTAAATTACAAATCTAACTTCTTTAATAGTTATTGGACCATTCACATTATAAATTTCATATTTTCTGAGTTGTGATAGTTTGTGTTTTTAAAGGAATCAGTCCATTTTATCTAAGCTGTTGAATTTATACACATAGGGTTTTTCATAGTATTCCTTTTTTAAAAAAATATTTATTTTACACCACATGGCATTCAGGATCTTAGTTTCCTCACCAGGGATTGAACCTATGTCTCCTGCAGTCGAAGTTCAGAGTCCTAGTTACTGGACTACCAGGGAATCCCCCATAGTATTCCTTTTTAAAAAAAAAACATATCCATCATCTCACATATTTACTCTCCCTTTATTTTTCTTTGGTGAGAACATTTAAGTTCTACCTTCTTAGCAATTTCAATTATACAATATAGCATTATCAACTATACTCACAATGTTATACATTAGATTCTCAGACCTTCTTCATTTTATAGCTGAAAGTTTGTATTTTTTTTTTTTTTTTTTGGATTTTTTTTTTTTTTTTTGCCCACGTGGCATGTGGGATCTTAGTTCCCAGACCAAGGATCAAACCTGTGCCCGCTGTTGTGGAGGCATGGAGTCCTAACCACTGGACCACCCGAGAATTCCCTGGAAGTTTGTACCATTAAACCAACATCTCTCGGTTTTCTCTACCCCATCAGTCCCTGGCAACCACTATTTTATTCTCTTTCTATCAGTTTAACTTTTTAAAAAAAATTTTACATGTGATACCATGCAATATTTGTCTTTCTCTGACTTATTTCACTTAACATAATGCCCTCCAGATTCATCAATGCTGTCACAAATAATAGGATTTCCTTCTCTTTGGGCTGAATGATATTCTTGAATATATGGTGTATAAATAAATGAATATATATATATATATATATATACATATATCATATTTACTTGATCCATTACTTGATCTGTTGACACATACTTAGGTTGCCTCCATACCTTCGCTCTTGTGAATATTGCTGCCTTGAACATGGGAGTGCAGATATCTCACGAGATCCTGATTTCCATTCCTTTGGATATATTCCCAGAAATGGAATTGCTGGATCATATGGTAGCTCTTTTTTTTTTTTGCGGGGGGGTGTTGCTAATGTCAAAGAAATACAATAATTTGCAAGTTTCTTTTCCAAATAGTGACATTTTGGGGGTGTTCTCTGGTGGCCTAGTGGTTAGGATTCTGGGCTTTCATTGCTGTGGCCTGGGTTCAATCCCTGGTTAGGGAACTGAGATCTCACAAACCACACAAAGTAGCCAAAAAAAAAAAAAAAAAAAGAGAGAGAGAGAGAGAGGGGAAAAAAGCAAATAGTGACATTTTAAAATGAACATTTTGGTCATGGATTGACTGTATGTTTGCTATAGGCAAACATTTCCATACCATCTTTCTTCCAAAGACTTTGGGTACTGGGTTGAGAACTTTATTCTCCTTTCAATTGGCTGCAGGATCTGTGGAAAGATTTCTCTGGCTCATTTGTGATATTAGTGCTTTATGTCTTCTCTCTTTTTTATCTTAGTCAATTAGTTCTATAGGTTTGTAAATTTTATTGACCTTTTCAGATAAACAGCTTTTTGTTTGATTTTCTCTATTGTTTTCCTGTTTTCAAATTTAATTGATTTCTGTTCTTATCTTTGTTATTTCCTTCCTTCTGCTTGCTCGCTTTGGGTTCATTTTCTTTTGTCCTTCTTTTTCTAGTCTCCTGTGATGGGAGCTTATATGATTGATTTGAGACCTTTCTTCTTTTCTAATGTAAGCATTTAGTTCTAAATTCCCATGCCAGCACTATTTTAGCTACATTCCACAAATTTTGATATGTTGTATTTTCAGTTTTATTCAGTTCAGTATATTTTTTAAAATTTCCCTTGAGATTTCCTTTCGACCTATGGATTAATGAAAAATGTGTTATTTAGTTTCCTAGTATTTGGGGATTTTCCTGTTGACTTTGTTATTGATTTCTAATTTGATTCCATTATGGTCTGAGAACATACTCTGTGTGATATCAGTTCTTTTACATTTTGTTGAAGTTTGTTTTATGACTCAGAATATGAGCTATCTTGGTGAATGGTATTTGAAAAGAATGTGAGTTATGATGTTTTTGGGTGGAGTGTCCTATAAATTAGATCCTGTTGTTTTATGATGTTGTTGAGCTGTATAATCTTGCTGATTTTGTGTCTAGTAGTTCTATTGCTGAGAATGAGTATTGAAGTTTCCAACTATAGTTATAGATTTGTCTGTTTCTCCTTCCAGTTCTATAAGAGTTTACTTCATGTGTTTTGAAGCCCTGTTGTTTGGTGCATACACATTTAGGATTGCTATGTCTTCATGATGAATTGGCTCTTTTATCACTATGTAATATTCCTCTTTGTCCCTGTAATTTTGTTTGATCCGAAGTCTACTTTATCTTATATTAATATCGCCACTCCTAGTTTTATAAATTAATGTTTGAATAGTATATCCTTTTCTATCATTTTGCTTTCTACCTACTCATGTTATATTTGAAGTGAGTTTCTTGTTGACAACATATAGTAGGGTATTTTTAAAAGCCATTCTGTTAAATGCCATTAAAATACAGAGATATTTTTAATTCATGTGTTTATACTATTTACCTTTAGCATAGTCATTGATACCTTAGGGTTAAAGTATAATGTTTTCTTATTTGCTTTTTGTTTTCCCCTCGATTTCTCATTTTTCTGTTTTCCTTTTCTTGCCTAACTGTAGGTTACTTGAATATTTTTTTAGAATTCCATTTTGATTTACATTGTTTTTTTGAGTATATCCTTTTATATAGTTTTTTTTTTTTTTTTGCCCTGCCTTATGGCATGAAGGATCCTAGTTCCTGGACTAGGGATTGAACCCAGGCCCCCAGCAGTGGAAGCACAGAGGCCTAACCACAGGACCACCAGGGAATTCCTTGTATAGTTTTCTTAGTGTTTGCTCTAGGTATTAAAATACACATATGTAATATCACAGTATACTATGACCATAATTTTGCCAATTCTAGTAAAGTTTAGAAGTCTTATTTTCATTTATGTCCCTTTACCCTCCCACTTTTTAAATACAGTTTTCTTATCTATTTCTCTATATACATGAAACCCAACATCAGATGGTGTTATAATTTTGTTTCAACAATCCATCATGATTGAAAAAATTCATGAGAAGGATAATCTACTATATTTATCCTTATTTTGACACATTTAATTATTTCCCTTTGTTTATTTTTTAAATTAATTTATTTTAATTGGAGGATAATTACTTTACAATATTGTGATGGTTTCTTGTTTCCCTTCCTTTCTAAAGTTTCAAGTTTCCTTCTGTTGTCATTTCCATCCTGTTTGGAGAGTTTCCCTTTACCATTCATTAATAGTAAGTCTGTTAATAAAAAATGTTATAAGTTTTCTCTTATCTAGGAATGTCTTTATTTCCCCTTTATTTCTGAAGGATATTTTGCTGATCATGGAATTCAGTTTTTGTTTTTTTTTTTTTTTGCTGTACTGTACGGCTTGCAGATCTTAGTTCCCCAACAAGGAATTGAACCCATTCCCTCAACAGTTAAAGCATGGAGTCTTAACCACTGGACCACTGGAGAATTCCCAGATATGACTATTCTTTTCTCCCATCATTTGAAAAATGTGTCACTTCCTTCTAGCCTTTATAATTTTTGATGAGAAATTCGCCATCATCTAAATCAGTGTTATTCTGCAGATAATGCATTTTTTTCTCTTTAGCTTCTTTCAAGATTTTTTTTCTTTATCTTTAGTTTTCAGAAGTTATTTATGATGTGTCTTAGTGTGGATATTTTTTAATTTTCTTATCTGGGTTTCACTGAGCTTCTTGAATTTGTAAATTTATGTCTTTCACCAAATTTGGGACATTTTCAGCCATTTCTTTTAATTCATTTTCACCTCTCTTTCAGTGACTTCAGTTTTATGAATATTAGCACTTTTGTTGTTACCGTCCAACAGCAGGGGAAGTTTTACCCCTCTTTTCTCTCTTTTGTTCAGATTGGAGAAATATTATTGTTCTGTCCTCAATCACTGATTCTATTCTGTCATCTTCATGCTACTATTGAATCCCTCCAATGAGTTTTTATTTTGATTATTGTGTATTTTACTTCTATACTTTGTTTGGTTCTCTTTTTGAAACTTCTTTCTCTTTGCTGAAATTTTATGTATTTCTCCAACTGTCTCTTTTCTTTGTCTTTTTTTTGGCTGTGCCACAAGGCTTGTGGGAATCTTAGTTCCCTGACCGGGGATTGAAACCAGGTCCTTGGTAGTGAGACCAGGGAGTCCTAACCACTGGACTGCCAGGGAATTCCCTCTCCACTTGTTTCAAGAGACTTTGTAATTGCTCATTGAAATATTTTTTATGACAGCTGAGCTAAAGTTCGTTCAAGATAAATATAACCTCTGATTCATCTCAGTGGTAT